ATACACAATGCAGCTGAAGCGTCATCAAACATAAAGGCTTTGGATCAGGCGTGGCTCTAAATTCGATTGGTGGTTGAAAGTTTAAACGACAGATAAGATAAAAAAAAATTTTTAAACCATTACGTCTGATACATGGTTGTTGCCCATACGCTTCGGAGCTTCCAAATCTGACCACTGTATATGAATGTTACATGGTGGTATACACGTTAGCTCGGACATCCGGATGTATACTTATTTCGAAATTTCGCTTGGCAACGCAGCAAATTTCTGCCTCTCTTTCTATCTTCGTGTCATCTTTATCCGATTGAAAAACAATTTATTTTTTTACATTCGAATTGATAAAACGAGTTATGTGTGTATAGACATTCAATTCGTACTTTTCATAGAATTGCATACGATGTACATAAACATGTATGTGTAAATGTGCCGGCTGATCGTATTACATTTAATACCATGTATAATATATTATGTTACCTATACATGTAGGTGCGCGAGCAAAGAACATCGAGACAAGTTTGTCATGTAACGGCTGTTATCCAATGTATACACATGGAAATACTATTATGCCTCCGGACACACTGAATATTGACATTATAGTTATATATATATATATATATATTTAAGCAAAGTAGGAAGTCCAGGGCCGGTGAAGAAAAAAAAGGTAGAGGCTTAAGGAATACAGGAGCGTTAACTTTATTCAATATACTTATATACAGGGCTAGTACGCAAAAAGCGGTATGAGGTGTACGTCTACACACACACACACGTACAGCAGATCACTGACGATACGTCTCATACGTCTTAGCACGGCAACGTTCGTTGAACGACTGCTTAATACATGCTTGTACGCATACATTCAACCTAACATTACATAGTAATATAATAGTAATATGCACATCCATTTACATATTAACATATACAAATTTATTAATTGTACTAAATAAATTTACTACAACAGTTTATTAAAAAAATATTTACTTTTGATTAAAAAAAAAAAAAAAATGCAACCGGTAATGGCTCTATTTTAATACTTTGTCCGTTCAACAATTGGCAGCCTATATACGTTGATATCGATGCCACGTTTTGTATAACAAAAAAAAAAAAAAAATCTGTAAGCGTCAATAAAATAACTCTCGATCGAGAAGCTCGATGTAACACATAAGTACAATTAGTTAAAAACTTAGAAGTTAAAAAACAACGTATCCCGAACTTGGATAAAACTTAAGATTACGATGTCGCAAATAATATTAAAAATGATTTTTATCTCTGCGAAATGATAACTTTTGCTCATATGCGAGATAAAATGCCGTTTTAAAATCATTGCAACGCAACGTCGACGCATACGAGACAGTTAACTTTTATTTAGACTAGTAAAAAAACAATTAAGGTACTCTCTTTATCCGATACTCGTGTATACGATGAGACTTTGAATTTTTTTTTTTTTTTTTTTTTTTTTTATGTACAATTGCCTAACGAGACGAATTATTATTCGTCGTAACGTATAACAGAAACTTTCGCTTAATATTTTTAATCGCTTAGAGCGCAAATAATGACGGTAGTGGTGTACACTTTGCTACGAAATATTTTTCGTTTCAACGCTTTGTTCAACCATATGTACACTATATAACGTTATACGCGCGTAAACAATGAGTGCTTTTGGTCTTGAAAAATTTGCTGAATGACACCACGAAGACAATTTCAACTTTTTGTTGTGCGAAAAAATATATGTGTGGTACGTTTTTTTTTTTGTAAATTAGGAGGAAAAAGATTTGCTAAACTGATTTTCTTTGGTTCTATACAAACGACGACTAAATTTAAGGCGTGAAACATGAAACATGTTGTTGCGTGATTTCTCTGGAAAAGTTGGGATCTCTACATTTTATCGGATATTCGCATAAAAATGTATAAAAATCCAAACGTTCTTAGAAAAACAGTCAGAAAACGTTTCACGTTATCTATACATATAGTAGATAATACTTTTGCAATAAACAACAAAACAACGACTCGGGTAATGCAATCAAGTTATAAAATCCCATGTACATGCGATTATTACGTATTTGTGTAAATTAAAGTAAAAAAACATAGCCGCTTACCAAATCTTCATCAATAATGGAAGACAATATCCGATTTAGCAAATTTTTTTCGATTTTACAACTTAAGTACGTATCGAGGTAACAAAAAAATTCAATATTCAGTTTTCATTTTACTATAAATCAACAATTTACGTACTATACGTAACTTCAACGAACTACCCTCAAACTTTTACTAAAATTTTGAACTAAATTATAAAACAGTATAAATACAGAGTACATTATAAGTATGTATGTATACACGTTGGTTTAACTAGTTGGATGATTACTTCAAATCCTCATAAAGATACATTTTGTATTACTGGCATTTTGCATCGACAATTTTTTTTTGGACAAACAATAGTAATCAACAAATTTTTATTGTTTCTGGTGTGACAAAAAAAGGAAATGATCTAATCGCACTTATTAAATTCTTTCGGTTACAAACGCTGTTTTTTTTTTCTTTATTTGTATATTATATTTCATACGATGCACAAAAGTTTTAAGTCACTGTTGACCATCTCAGACTATTTGATGCGTCATTATCATGACTGTTAAATATCGCACAAATGTAGTAATGAAACGATAAGAAAACAAGAGAGTACCCAAGAACGAGAGATTTCACTCCCAATGGCCCGTACGAAAAAAAAAAAAATAATATCAATGCACTTCTACTAGAAGCGAGGGTTCCACTGCATCAAAGTCAACGATAGATTTTCAACTCTGATGGAATTAAAATAATCAATTTATTATTATTATTATTATTTTTTAAATCAATCGATCTGCAATCTCTAACTAAAGTATATATTTATGTATACGTATTCTGCTACAGGTATGCGTATACTTTGTAAGTACATGGAATGTATAATGGTGTTATTTTTTTATTATTATTATTATTATTTTTTTTTTTTTTTTTTCAATGTAATTAAAAAGTAGTGTATTTTGTTCTATATAGGAATATTTTTCATACAACACGTGTTTGATTTGCACTAGTTGGTTACACATTATCATTGTTACGATATAGTTTTGTTATTACTATTTTTCGGTATTATCATCGGAAAAGGCCATTCGCGCGATTGTTTTCACACACACACACACACACTCGCACGCGTGCCTATTATCAATATTGTATTTCTCGTCGAAATTCGTATTTTCATTACTTACTTATCTGGCGTGGTTTTTTTTCACTAAAAGTTTTAAGAACACTTGGATACATTGAACATTCAATTATTACAGAGGGTGACGTTCCGAGTGTACCTTTTTCCATTGTCGCGTTAAATATATGACGAATGTTGGACTGGATTTTTTGTAATACGAACGAAATATCAACGGAAACCTCCTTTAGGTTGTAGTTTATATAGTTATATATATATATATATATATTTAAAGCTCGAATAAGCCGAACTGGCCAGGGCTGGTGGCGTTCGTNCCCCCCCCCCCCCCAAGAACCGAGACTTGCGTGTGTGACTCGTATAGCTCCAGAAGCACCAGCGAAGCACCATCATCCTGTCCCACTTTTGAGCAAAGAAGAAAGAAGGTGGAAAAAAAAGACCCTTTAAACAAGTACTTTTGCGGGTTTTTTGTTTCAAGCGAAAAAGTCGCCGCGATCCTTCTCGATCTCAACAGGTCCGGTGCCCCAGATCTTGCGGTTCTTGGTGACGGGAATGATCCCCATGAGGAGCCCGGAGACGATGATCCAGCCGCCGGCCATGAAAAAGGACGGATCCCAGTGGCCGGTCATGTCGAATATCCAGCCGGCGATGGGCGGCCCGAGCAGGTTACCGATACCCTGACAGAGCAGGCTCAGCCCGTAGGCGGTGGTGAAACGCTCGAGGGGTATTATCTCGACGAGAATGACGGGCGTGAAGCTAAAGTTGCTCGCGAAAAACAGGCCGAAGCAGCAACAGGTGACAACGAGGGCGTAGTAATTGTGGGTGAAGATCGGCATGAGGATGGTAGAGATGCCGCAAGCAACTAGGCAAACCGTGTAAGTCTTGGTGACGTTCATCCAGGGCTGGTCACCCGCCCAACCTAAACCGATCTGCCGCAAAAGAAAAAAAAGGTATAAGAAAGGGATGTCAATGTTGACGCGAGCCTCATTGGTACACAGATAACAATTACCATTCCTATGGTGTTGGTGATGCCGATGTAGCTGAGCAAGTTGGCGGCCAGGCTCTCGGGGTAGCCGAGTCGGGTGAGATGCTCGGCTAGGTAAAAATAAGGCACGATGAACCAAGTGAAGAGGAGTATCGTCGACAGGGAGAGTAGGAGAAAGTGGAGCTCCGAGAACATTGAAAAGTCCATCATGCCCCGGAGCAGATCAACCAGCTCGCTGTACCATTTCTGTGAGTGGAGAGAAACAATAAATGACAATCTATCGGTACACGTGTATATACATTATATATTATTATAATAATAGGTGTGGTCACCTCTTCGTTCTCCCTGGCGAGGGTGGTCATGCTGTTTCGGTAGATGTTGGGACAGCTGCTGGCCCTGAGCCTGTACTTGTGCAAATTGAGCACGGCCCCGCGGTACATGACGCTGTTGCGGTGCACGCGTATGTCCTTGAAGTAATGGGTGTTGGTGCTGAATTGCCGACGCAGCCAAGGCAAGGAATCGGTGCGCACGACGCCCCCCTGGTGGCCGGGCAGGTGGTGACGGGATACCGATTTTGCTCTTTCCGCGTCGGCGATCTGTTGGCACGTTGGATTATATTTCTTTGTTTTTTCACGGATGTACAAACATAGGGGATGTTTTTGATGAAAACGTAACCGAGGCCAATTGTTTGGCCAACAAAGAGCGAAGCGCCTGTGTGTACTTGTGTATACGCATACAAGCACACGCTCGCGAGAGACTTTGGTCGCGCGTACACGTGGATCGATTAAAAAAACACATCCAGGTACGCAAAGACGATGCGACTCGACGAGTGCCACGTTTGCCATACGCAAACACAAGCGATTAGCCCCTTGGCCGGCTGTTTGAAGACGAAAGGGTCGATTTGTCTTTTTCTTTTTGTTTTTTGTTTGTTCACGGCAAAACTTACAGCCTGAGCGATCTCCAGAGCCAACAGAGGGTTGGTTTCCTCCAGGTCCTTGCGCGACATCCTCCTGGCGGCGAGCACCTTGGTGGAGGCGTGCGCGGATCCCCCTCGCGACTGCGACTTTTTCCCTTTGTCCTTTGCTTGCTTGAGCCTATACAATCGCGGGTAGGAAAAACATTTGTTGTTTACGAGATGGATCCTCTTTAGATTATCGATTGCAAACAAATAAAGGTGGGACCATTCGAATGGACAGAGGGTTATTTCAAAGGGTTGCGTGCTTGTGCCAATAGTATACGTGAGAAATGAAAAAAATAGGGTGCAACGGGGGGGGGGTGGGTGCGTGTACACATTAGATACCAGTCGTGCAACCTCATCGACATGGTGACTCCGGTCTTGTTCACGTCGCAGTTCGATTCGTCCAGCTTCTTGTCCGACGCGCTTCTGCACAGCAGCAAACTCGGGTAGTTCTCCAGGATGACGTTGTAGACCCGCGAATTCGACGACAGGGACTCCAGCACCTCCAACGGGACCTTGAATCATGAGGTATAAGGTACTTTCTTTTTTTTTTTTTTTTTTTTTTTTTTTTTTTTTCTTTTTTTTTTTCCTAAGCCAAAAAAAATGGAGCACAGTAACCGATCAGGAAACTGGGCACGCGCTCTCATAAAAATTCCAAACGGCGACAAATTGTCCCCCACCCCCGCACAGTTATGAATATTAACAAATTCGGCATTAAAGCTCCTACCAAGCTGGTTCTCGAGGGGGCGAGGAGCATATAAATATATATACAAGGGTGGTCGGCTTTAGCGGGACCTTGACAAGATTGATTTTAAAACACGCAGCACGCGCTGTTGGTATACCATATACTTACACGCGCATACATGGATACGTGCAGCGAAAAGGCTTGACTCGAACATGATGTATCATATGTATGTATACATGTAAACCCGAAGGTCACACGGAGGTAAAGTTCAGGGCTTAAGGCGAGGCAACACGTTTGTGCACTTACGCATACATACACATACCTAATAATACAAACGGGAGGTAATGGGTATACGTATAATGTAAAGGCCATTTTTTTTTTTTTTTTTTTTTTTTTTTTTTTTTTCGAGGGATGTTTTATTTCTTCGCCTTGTACTGTTTCAAACGAAATTGACCGGAATATGTGGGGGGGGGGGGGATGGGGTGGGCAGAGCCCACAAATTACGCACGCCTCTGTTTCCCGAGTCGATATACCAATATGGGCCACGGTATAGTATGGACAAAAATAAAAAGGAGAGAAAGTTGCCGGGTGATGTGATTATAATTACTTACCTTCTCGCTCTGCCTAACAAAGGTTGGTAGATTGACGACGCTCCGGAAGGCCGGGTTCCCGTCCGGGGCGCACCTCGTCTCGGTGCTGGTCCTCAGACTCTGCAGGAGATACTCGGGCGCCTTGCCGCTCTTCATCAGCCTCCTCAACTCCTCGACCCCCGGGAAGTCCTCGTCCCCCCCGGGTCCCGTGCTACTCTGGGACCTCTCGTTGGCCCCGCTGTTGCTCCCGTGGTGGTTATTACCCCCCGATTGGCTCTTCTTGGGGGATACGACGCTCGACTGTTGTTGCTTCTTTTGCTCCTGTATCCACCACTCGGGGTCCCTCATCACCGTGCCGCAGACTATCATGTTGAAAAACGTGCCGGCCAGCAGGAGGACGCATCCTCGCCAGCCGTACTCCTCGATGAAGAAGGTCGTCATGGGCGCGTAGACGAAGGTCCCTATGCCCGTGCCGCAGGCGCCCAAGCCCACGGCCAGGGTGCGCTTCTTGTCGAACCAAAAGGCTATGCTCACGACCGCGGTTACGTAGCACAGACCCAGACCCAGACCGGCTATCAGACCGAAGGTCAGGTACATTACCCCGATGCTCCGGACGAAGCTCGACAGGACGAAGCCCGCGCCCGATATAATGCCCCCGGCGATCGTCATCTTGCGGCACCCGTACCGGTCGACCAGGGCCGACATGATGGGCCCCGACAGCAGGGGCACGGCCATGAACAACGACCCGATCCACGCGGTCGTCGCCTTCGACTCCTCGAACTCGTACAAAAACTCGATGTACAGCAGACCAAAGCTAAACGACACCCCGTCGGCTATCATGGATATGCACAGCGAGGACACCACCACCACCCAGCCCCACCCGCCGTCCGGTATCTTGGGCCTTTTCTTCCTGCCCCTGCCGACTCCCGCTTCTCCGTTGTCCGACGAGTCCTCGTCCTCGTTGTTTTCCTGCCCCTCCTCCTCGTCGTCGTAGATTTCGAGCATCGCGTCCGAGTCGATCGAGTCCTTCTCGGGTGCCGGCCGGTCTCCTCTCTCATTGTCCTCCTCCTTCTCCTCCTGCCTCTTGTGGACCAACGAGCTCGGCACCGTCTCCGACTCTGAGTACTGTCTCTTCACGAGAATACCCTGCTGCGTCGCTCCCGTGTCGGGGCTACCCTCGAGTTGTTGGTTATTGGCCGGCTTGTCGGTGGGACTGATGCCGACAGTGAGGTTAGGTGAGCTGAGGTAGCTCCTGGTCGGCGTGGCGTAGAGGCGCTCCTCGGTCCTGTCGCTGCTCGGGGACTGAAAGTACGCCAGTGGCTCGTCGTCGTGCTCGAGCTCGGGATTCGAGCCCGTGGCCAGTGACAGGTCGGCCATGTCCTGAGAGAAGGACTCCAAGCTCTTGTCGATCGTCAAGCCGGGGGTCGACGGCACGCCCCGCTCGTCGGCTATGCTGCTGAGGTTCTCCGTGTTTTCGTCGTCGTCGTCGTCGTCCCGGCCGATGCCCGAACTCTCGGACGGGGTCTCGACCGGCACCGCGGCGACAGGTGGCGACACGGCGTTCGACGACTCCTCGGTCGGCGAGCTCGGGAACAAGGTCGGGCTGCCATTGTGCCAACCGACGAGTGGAGCCGGGCCCCTCCTCGCGCCAACCACACGCTGGTCCTGCGCTCCGTTCTCATCCGGGGACTTTTTCACCTTGGTCGGGTACTCGACGAATCTCTGGTAATTGCTGTTTTCCTTTTTCGCGTAGATGCCCTCTTTTCGTGGACCCACCGGTGTACCGTTCGCCTCGGTGGTGGTGGTGGTGGTGGTGGTGTTGTTGTTCTGCGTTGTCCCTACCGCCGCTTGTTGCTTCTTGTGGTGTTGGTGGTTGTTCGATCTGGCGGATGGACGATCGCTCAGGCTGTCGCGTAAAAAGTTTCGATTGCGATCGGCCATCACTCGATCGACCGGCCGGTTTTTCGTGATGCGCGGCTACTTGTCGAGGGTCAATGTTAGGGGGGCTACAAGTACGACGACAGCGAGAAGAGAGTATATTTGTATATATATATATATATCGGTATGTATAATCGTATCGGGCGCGAGATTCTAACTGTACAGTATAAGTAAGTGTATTATGTGGGATGGTTGGGCGGCTTCTCTAAATGTACGTGTTGCTTGTGCCCGATTGGCTCCAGCGGCGCGGCCAGCCCTTGAGACCTTGGATCTCCTCGCCGGGTGAGTCGTTGCTGCGGCCTTCACCTACCATAAGGATCGCTGCTGGGCGCTCGCACCACCGATTACGAAAGCCGGGCCCCGAGAGCCGATTCTTCCCGGCGGGTGGTGCAGTCGAAACCGGCCGGCTCCTCCTCAGCATGCACCCTTCGTTGGTCTTGTTGGCTTGCAAGTCCTGCGATGAGGATGACAAGTGTTATGTATATACTTTTGTTTGATTTTTTTTTTTTTTTTTTTTTTCTATTTCGGTTCTGTTCAAATTCTCAAGTATAGAGATAGAGCGAAATAAGCCCTAATTTGGGATCAACATTTTTATTTTTTTTTTTTTTTTTTTTTTTTTTTTTTTTTTATTGCGGTCAAATTTGTTGGATTATCGGTAGGGGGTGTTGGAAAATTATTGTACATCACATTAGATACACCAATCATTTAATAATAGCGCACTAGATTACGTGTACAAATAGTAAAGCTCTACTTATAAACACTGTGCTCGTGCAAAATGTNTCCCCCCCGACAACTTGGCTGCGGTCGCGGCAGCAGTATAAACGTTAAGTAATTGCCACCTTACGGTGCGCGTAACGAAAAGTAATACCGTCCCTCTTGCGTGCACTTAACACAGAGAGAGAGAGAGAGAAAGATAGGGGAAAAGAGAAGTGTGCAGCGAGACTCACGCTGATTTCCGACTTGTGCCTGTAAATGTCGCCCATGATCCTTATGCTCCTGGCGTAGCTCGCCTGGTCCCCGGACACCAGACTCAGCCTCGTGGCCTCCTGCGAACAATACGCGCACGCGGTTTCGCTACATAATTATAAAAGGAGCACTGCTCGAAAGGGGTTTCTTTCGGGATAATACAATTGCTGATAGCTCGATATCAGAGTTGCGAAAATGAAACAAGTGTACATACCGAGCAGTAGTCGTGGGCGTCGCCGAGGTCGCCTTTCTTCCTGAGGGCCGAGGCCATCTGCAGCAGGGCCGCCCTGTGGTGCCGGGAGTTGAGGTCGCCGAGCTGCAGGCTCCTCGAGAGGTCGTAGGCGCGGGCCGCGTAACGCGCGCTCTTCTCCGCGTCCTGCAGCCGGCCGAACAAGTCCGACAGTCCCACGTAAACCTGATTTTTCATGGGTTATACACAAATGCTCTTTTTACCTCTTTTTACTCGTGCCTTTGGGGGCTTGAAGGAGAGGGTCTGTTTACTTTGGTCGTCCGGACAATGAAATTTCACGAGGGGGGGGGGGACCATCAAAACGGACGTTTCAAGTTCGTATATATACGATTGTCCATGCTGTACGTCCATACTAGCCCCGTCCGATGCGCGCTATCAATTTTCACCAGCTCGAGCGTTTAACGAGCGATGAATCTCGCGAGGGGTGTACATAACATGAGGCATTGGAGGTGGCCTCGCTGCAAAGCTGTTATCGCGTCATTAAAATGACTCTTCGGGACGATAGGGGCGCGAAATATTGCGAAAGCAAACGGGGGGAATGAATTTACGATATTTCAACCGACGAGGAGTTTTAATTTGATTTTTCGCGTCCGAATGATTAGATCACCTCGTATTTACCCTGACACGTTAGCCCCACGCGTGGGCGAACCGAGTAAAGTTAAACAATCTAATTTGTTTCCTCGACCCAACGAGCCATTTTTCGCAACACGTGTCGCCCCCAAACTTGCGACTCACGCGCTAGAGGACTCGGAAGCTTAAACCAATATAACGCGAACGCGGAGGGTGGAGGGGTAAATAGATACACATACGTTAATAATAATAAAGTTGTAATGGGGCACGGTGGGTTCTTACCTGTAGCTCGAGCGAGGGGTCCTGGATAGAGTGGGCGATCTTGTGGGCCCTCTGAAAGCCCTCGAGGGCCTTGCAGAAGGCGGCCATCTCGAGGTGGACTCTACCTATCGACAGGTGAACCAGTCCGGCCGTCGCGCACTGATCGCACTCGTTGTACAGGCTGAGGAAAGAAAAGCACTCGGCCTCCGTATTAAGCGTCATGCGGCTGGTTACCGAATTTCGGGCATTAGTCGGTGGCTTCGTCACATGATACACGCTTACGACATCGACACGATGCACATTTACACAATACAACATGGATACACGTGTATACATCGGGAGCCAACTGTATATGATGAGCTACGAGAGTGGAGATACGTCGAATAAACACTCGGCGGCCCCGAGGAGTCAAAAGCGTTGGTTTTTTTTTTCGAGAGCGCGGACGCGACGGCAATTTGCGGGTGTAATGAAATTTTAGCCGCGTGTTTCCTCTGCCACGATGAAATGTTTGTCGCCCTTTTCGTTCGTGAATCACGGGAATTCTGGTGGAAACGTGTGTGTATTTTTTTTTGTTCCCGTTAGCTATGAAAAAACAAAATCCAAACTTTTTGTAGGATCAACTTTTGTTCGGCGTTGCGCGTAGAATTTCGTGTACACGCTTGTACCTGGGCAGTGCCCAATAATCCTCAGTGAAACATCGATAAAAACAATTTTTGTTTTTGTTTTTTTCCCCGTGAGCGGGAGAGAGATTCGACGAGTGGTCGAACGAGCGATTTCAAATGCAGATGTGCAAGGGGGGGGGGGGTGCAAAAAAAAAATCTCCCTCATCCGAACATCCAATAACGAGCGGGACAACAGCGTCAGGCGAAGCTTGGCCGAGTGCGTACACGTAAACTGTATGTGTTGTAGAATATAGAAGCGTACGGGAGACGGGAGATGAAGAATCGTAAAAAAAAAGACTGTCGTGCAGGCAAGTGCCAGCGGGTAATATAAAAAGAGGGTCAAAGGACTGGATTTGCGCAGAATGGCCGGGAAGGGATGGAAAAAAGCACATGCTCGGGGTATAATATATTGACAGAAAAAAAATGGGGTGGTAGTTTACCTGTGCCGGGCGAAGCCGAGGGCCCGGTCGAGGCTGCCAAGTCTCTCGTACGCCCGGGCGAGATTTAAGTAAGCCTCGGCCCGCATGTTCGGCGAGTCCAGCTCCTCCGAGACGCAGAGCTGCCGCTGCCCAAACTCCAGACTGTCCCTGGAAGAGGGGACGAGATCGATTAGCCTTTGGCTTGATCGAAAAACCTCTGCGCCCGGGGGGTGTGCTTGGAGGATTTTTTTTTTTCCCCCCCATATCGAGTCTCTTTGACGGTCGCGCAAATTTATTCCCGTGCATTTGAATTTGCCGCCGTGTATTGATTGCGCTTTCGGTTCGTGGGGGGAAAAAAGTTTTGCGCCAGTCTCCCTTGCGACTTTTTAACTACCGTGTACGTGGTAAAAAATATGCGCGCAACTCTTATACTACGTCGTTAGTAACTTCACTTTCGGTTCAGAGGGAATCATTCCGAAGGAGATGACGTCGCGCAGGCTGTGGTAATTAATTTTTTAAACCAAGATTTCTAAGTTGACTACATTAAGACTTGGGTGCGAATATTTTTTCAATTTTTTTTTCTTACAGTTTTTGTCACTATGTGTAACACAGTGCATGAGAAAGTTTTTTACAGGAAAAATAATGCATTTTAATCAGACAGTAAAATCATTTAGAAAAAAAAAGTCAAAGTATTTTACAAATAACGTATAAAATTAACACATTGTTCAGTCGATTGGCTATTACGTCATGCACGTACAATTAATCCTAAAAATAATAACAACAACAATAATAATATTAATAATCTGGCATAAGCTGTGAAAGAGATTACATCGTGAACGTATTTGGAGTTGCATGAGATTGTATTCCTTATAATAGTAACGTGGAAAAAATGTGGTAAATCAAAGACAATGAAAGTTACGCAAAAGAAAAAGGGGAAAAAAAAAGAAACAGTGTTTCAAAGATCAAAATAAAATACTCAAGCGGTAGATCCGTTGTCTGAGGGTTCGGTTGTGATCCAATCAATATTAGCCCAAAATTTTTTTTCCCCCAATTAAATTAAAATTTTGCTTATACACGCACAAAATACTTGCAATAATCCCACAATGGCGACAACGTTGCCTTGGCAGTTCACATGTGCATTTATTTTAAATCGTTCGTGTTTACACTGGACACGCGGCGGTGGTGGTGGTGCTGGTGAACAAAGACTATATAATACCATGTATTGAATCGTAACGTGACGTCGAGGGAACACCCCCTTTTCTCTCTCGCTCGGGCCAGTGTGACGTCATCGCGCGCGCCAATTTCCCGTTACGTTTAACCCTGTGTTTATGTACACACATACATGTATATGTACACGAGGGGAGAGAAAGAGAGAGTTGCTAAAAATGTCTCGAGACGACGGCAACAAAAGGGCTATTTTTACTTTCCGGGGCTAATGAGCTGCTTTTTAGACCCTCGCGCGTCGCCCTTTTTGTATTTAATACCGCAAGTTCTCTTCGCGCCAATAATTGGGGGGAAAAAAATACATAATGTTCTTTGAAACGCTGCTTCTCCAAGAAAACATAAAGAAGAGGGGACAGTGAGAACAATAAAAACAAACAAACAATTCGTAGAGAAAGTAAAAAAAAAAAAATAAGTAAATAATAACAATAGTAGATACATGTGTAGCTTTGTCACCTTGTAATCGGCATCTTTTTTGGTACAGGCTGACGGTGATTACCGATACAGTTGAATGCAGGGTAGATGTACAATTATATCGTCGTCAGGACGGAACATGCAGCATCGGCATTATTATTATTTTTTTTTTTTCTTTTCTACGACGATCAGGTGAAGATGTGCTCACGATAGGGGTGGCGTGCACTTTTTTCTAATACGTTGATACGTACATCTACGAAGGGGTGCCCATCATAATATATGTATAAATGTGTATAAGTGCAGGTTTATATATATATATGCGTGATCCGTGTGCAGTGAGAAAAGTTGGGTCGTTGGGTGTGATGATGACGCACGAGTGAGCTTATACATTATGCTGTTGTCATTGTCGTTTGGGACTGATTTTTTGTTTTGTTTGAGTTTCGTTGATTTAAAAAAAAAAAAAAACGAACGAAAAAAATACAAACGAATCAAATATTTCAAGCATCAAATTGAAAATTCATTATTTATTCAACAAAAACGAAAAATAATGAAACCAACGCTAATAGATAATAAAAAAACTACTGTTCATGCACATTACGACACCCTACGATATAAAACACGTCCGAGCCGACGAGAGAGCCTCGATTCATTCACCAAAGCTCGGCCCTCCCCCCATCCCCCTCTCTATCTCTCGGCAGAAGGAAAAAAAGCTCTCGCAAGCACCCCCCCGTTGGAGTTTACAGGTATGAGCCCAGCGAGAGCTGGGCCCCGATGTTTGGTAGGTACAAAAATGAGAAAGGGTCGGTAGAATCGATAACCAACCACCAGACAGACAGAGAGAGCTTTCGCGCGTACGTGATAGTGTGCATGTGCGTAAGGGTGGCTCTGTCGACTGTACACTCACCGGGACCCGGGGGGAGGACGAGACAGCGCTCGGGAGCAGGACGGCGCCTCGTAACCGTATGACGGGTAGTAACTTGGCACTGGTTAGATTCTTGATGATCCTTTTATCCTTTTTTTCCCTTCCGTTTGTCCGAATCAACTTTATAAGCTCGTAAGCTCGACTATAGGGTGGGGGTGGCAAAGAAGCTCCGAGCTTTTGCACTTGCGTGTGGGTGGTTTTTCAAACATCCGATGATCGACCGGTTGAGGGAACGTTTTGCTCGTTGCTCGACAATTACACGGCCGAGAAAAGACAGATAGAGTGTGTTGATGGGTGACCGGAGAATAGGGAGGTGGTGGACGACGAAGCGTTTCGGGCGTTTTCCGCGGCGAGACTGAGTGCCATGTATACACACACTTGTTTCTTCGGCCCCGGCTCTATCTCTATACACCAATCATTTAATAATAGCGCACTAGATTACGTGTACAAATAGTAAAGCTCTACTTATAAACACTGTGCTCGTGCAAAATGTTTATTAATATACTGACTACAAAGAAAAAAAAAAAAAAAAAAGAGCAGAGAAATAAAAACAAACAGTAAAATAAATAAATAATTTGCTGTCACTCACCATCGGGGTAATATGCAAAATGACGTTCTTATTGGTCGTGCACAGTCGTGTTTGGGCGTAGGAAAGTGCATGCGATAACCGGACGTGAGCGATTTGTTATTATTAGCCATATGACATTAACACTCGATAATTCAATTCAATCAAGCTTATCGTGTACACACATCTTATATACTATACATGTATTACGTATACGAGATAAAGGTGCACAATATATATGTATTATACATGTAACAAATGTAATAAAATAAGTGTGGTACGAGGTATACGTGGGAGCGTGCATGGCATTGTGTATTATTTACACAAGTAATATTGCGTGCAAGAAAGTAATTACAAAATTTAAAAAGAATAATATACATGTTAGCTGAAAATAAAAGAGACAATTAGTTACATCGCAGTATAGGTGTAGATGGTACATTAGTGCTGAAAATAAAAAGTAAAGGTGTAATATTAGCCACGAAGAGAAGCAGTTGGAGCAATGCGCGTGATTTGTCATTTATTTGAAAAAAAAACAATCTCAAAACCATCAATGCTCCCCAGCATCAGTTGATGAAAAAAAAAAAAAAAAAAAAAAAAAAAAAAAAAAATCTATAAATCAAACAAACCCGATTTTTTTTGTATAGCTCTGCGCGAGGATCAAAATGCTGTGATTTATATCTCACCGTGAACGTGCAAAAGAGCCTTATTTGTGAACTCCTAGCGCATCTTTGCCACATTTAGAGTATTTTTTTTTTTTCTTTGTTCAGAATTACTTTGAATTTGGTTTGGATCTAATAACCAGTCAAACCCAACTCGGCGCACAAGCAAAAAAAATCAAGAAAAACCTTACACCTCCCGTGCGCGTATCAATAACTTTTTATCCATATACCATCGTAACGCACCCGACCAACGTGATTGATTAGGCGGATGGTCGCCCCGGAGTCGTTGTGCTTGCAAGCTCGGGCGAAGGCCGCGCAAGTAACAAACTCACCACAAGTTGGGTTATTTATCATTTTCCGAGTTTTTCAACGAAAGTACTTAATTAGCAAACGGGGGTCAGAGAGAGAGAGAGAGAGATCGATCGGGTGCGGTACCATTATACATATACTGCGAGGGTTGGTCGCTCATACATTCATATTGTTGTAACCTTGATAAAGTATATACATGTTAATGCCACAGGGTGCCGCGTAATTAACATCCGTACAACTTACAGCTACGATGAATAATTAATAATAATAATCGGGCTAATCGAGGTAAAGTTAATTGGTAATTAAACTGCGACAACCACATATTTATATATACACGTGGGTAGCATTAGAAAGAAAATAAGAAAAAAAGGGTAGGGGAGTTGGGTTAATAATAAATCTAGAGATGCTAAATATACACCTACACCCGAAATGCCTCTTTTTGCAACTATATCATTTGATATCGAGCCTCAATTACCCATATTCGTCTTAACGACGGAAAAAGCGCCCGCGTGAAAAAAAGAGCATAAAATACTAAATCAATGTAATTTACGTTTGAAAATTGCTGAATATTTGAGAAAGTTCTTGTAACGCGCATCCTACTCTTCTTCGAGAGAGAAAAAAAAAAAAAAAAAAAACACCAACTCAATAAAAAACCACAAAAAACCAGATGATGTAAACACGGCATCGTCCCAGAAAAGGGTGCATGGTACGTATAACGTCCACCCAGCCAGTTACGTCATCGGTAGGTATAGGTATATCTTTGTACGCAGCGGTGCTGCTGGTCGGTCGGTCGTGACGTCAACAACGACGAAGACGACGATGACTGGGGCGGGGAGGGGGGGGAGGAGGAGGAACCGAGGGAGAGGGTGACCTGCCGCTGGTCGTCATGACGACCGACCTGTGCTTCTTCTCCTCTATACTCCCCCTTTTGTCGACAAACGCCAACCCTACATGCATGTGTGTGCATCATAAAAAAGGGTCTATTGTTGCACCTGATTCCTCGAGTTTTCTTTTTTTGGGGATGAAAGTTCTTTTAAAGATACGCACGCAACGACGACTCATCCCTTTGTTAATGGTCTTACGGATGCATCGACCGTTACATTCCTTCCCAACCCCCGTTATCGACCCTTTTTTTGTACAATAGGTGTGCACGTTTTGGCAGCGAATAATTTTTAAAAAACCTTTGTGACACATCGATACTTATGTACTATGTGTTAATTCACAAGAAAATCATAGTTTGGCGCATGCATATGCCACGTAAAAAGAGTGGAGAGAGTCTCTCTCGGGCTTATATTATTGCTTACGTGACGCGCGAGATTTGCTCGAGAAAGAGCGAAAGGAAAAAAAAGGGGGCCGTGACTTTTGCCGAGTCCTTCAAACAAA